TCCACAATCAGCTGGTTCCAAGGCAGGGTGGCGTGGCACAGGGGAACACTTGAAGGCAGCAGCCAGCAAAGCAGCCAGAACTATAAAACGGGGAGAGAGAAAAAGCCTCTTCTCACTTATGTTGTAAGAAGGCTACCTCTACCCAGGGCAAGTTAAGGACGCTGGCTCCCTGCTGAGTCCAGTGAACTTATTAAGCTTCTCAAATTGACACAATGTAACAAAAATAACAGATAGTGAGTGAAATTCTCACAACATTTATGAAAGATACCGATCACATTCAAAAGAATGAAAAGAAGAAAAATCTAGCACTATAAATAAGAATTCTATGTAGACAAATGCTGGAACACAAAAAACAAAGAGAAAGGGCTTACTACTTGTAAAACAATGAGTTTTGGATAGAGTCAACCTGTCCAAAAAAAAAAAAAAAAAAAAAGTCATGGGGAAAAGTCTTTAATGTGCTAAGAAAATATAAATCATAAGTAAAAACCCTCGATACCAAAATATTAACAGACTTGAAGGATCTCAATAATTAACTTGAAACAAAAAAGATCAGAAATAGTAGGTAAACCAAAAGAGAATGAGTATGTGTGTAAACATACATAAACACAGATTTTTAGTGTCAAGAAATAGCAATTCTAATCATACTTTTATGATTATTAAAATGAAAAAATATGAGTAAAATATCACTGCAAACTAGCATACAAACTAAGGAAAGATGACTAAGTATTCTCTAGTTTCAGAGGAGATAACACATTATTGCTTACTTTTGTTCTTTGCAAGCACATGCATGTTTAATTCCTTTTCTGTTATAAATTTTCAAAATATCATCTATCTTCTAAATTGGTAGATGAAAAAAAAATGGAACCAGAATTTAAAAACCTACACAAAATGTAAAAGGGAAAAATGAGAAGGAAAAATATAAAGAAGAAACAAATTAGAAGAAAAGGAGGACGCGGGGCACAAGAAACGGGAAAAGCAAACTTGGAAAAAGCACAAATTGAAAATTCAAAATGAAATATTACATATGAATTCCAGTATGCTCTTATAATCAATACAAAAAGGTAAAATTACCAGGTAAAAACTAAGATTACCAGATAGATTTTTAAAAATCCTTACATGGTTTGCAATAAATATTCTTTAAATATAAGGTGTGAGAAAGGATTGCTTGCATTGAGTATAAACATCTACACATAGCAACAGGGGCAAATCCATGAAACGTAACACTGAGGGGGGAACACAAGTCTTAGAAAAATACCTGAAAGATAATTCTATTTACAAGAGTTCAAAAGGATAAACAAATAATATGTTATCTACCAATACAGATATCATGAGTTATAATCAGAAAGAATGAATGTCAAATTCCAAATTCAGGATAATGCTTCCCATAGGACAGTGAGGCGGCTATGGACAAGAATATAGAATTTAAAAAGACACACATGGGGCTGGGGATTTAGCTCAGTGGCGGAAGTGCTGCCTGACAAGCACGAGGTCCTGAGTTAGAACCCCCATACCTCTCCCCCCAAAAAAGGCTTCTGTAAAAAGATACACAAGACAGTTTCAAGACAACAGACAATATTAATATAACTCAGTCTCCCTGATTGCCAAAGGGCACTTATTCTACTGTTACGACAAAGAGGTTTTTAAATATGTTTAATATTGTATAAAAATAACTTTTAAAATAAGCCAATGAATTAGTAAATCAAAGATTTTTTTCAGATCATGATACGAACAAGTACACTGATCTCATTTCCACATGCTTTTAACTCGAAGGTCAAGCTCTTCCATCAGCTTCATTTTTTTTCAATCCCAAAAATGCAGAGAAGCTAGATTCCAAAACTGACAGTGATTAAGTGGGATGACATTCAATAGCGGCTCATTTGTTTTGATGTAAACACATCCTCCTGCACAATTCTCCAAAATTATTTTCTCAAAGTTATAGTTCTCAACTTAAACCTACTTCTGTAATGTCATTCAAAGACTTCTTGAAAGTTAAGTTTAGTGAGAAAATATTTCCTTTAAATATTTAAATAATTCCTTTAAATAATTAAAAGAAAATATTGCCTAAAATCACAAAGCACAAAGATTTCACAGAATGGATTTTCTGAGATACAAATATTGCCTCTGATAGAAGCATCACACTGAGAAAATGAAGATATATTCTATAATTAATTTAGTACATACATAAATGATTATGAGCTATAAATGCCTGAAATCAATCATGACGTATCACCTCTTTAGGTTTTTACCCAACTGTATTCAATCACTCAAACATAATTATTGATTATGTCAAGATTCACCATAAGTTATATTTGGCAAGTTGAGGAAGTTGCTATTTTCCCTAATGGTCAAAACCAACTCTAACCTCATCAAGAATATTGAATGATCAATAAATCTCATCAAACCGAGCTTTTGTGATCTTCACATCAAATCTTCATAAAACAAACTGGTTTCCACAGAATTCTCTATCTTATAGTAAAATGTCAACAAGGCTCATAATTACTAGGCAGAGTTTCAAGAAGCTGATGAATGACTGAAAACATTATACATTCAGGGCACAGGACAGAAAATCTAATTTAAAGAAGGAGTCCACTGTTTCCCTTATTTTTGATTCAAATAAATTCTGATCCAAATCAGCTTTTTGGAGAACCATGATTCATCGGTTCATGTTTTCCTGTTTTTTAATCTATTCATACTGTCAAGCTTTTAGCTATTTAATGATATCACAACTTGAACAATAATCTCAGAAGCTTATAAAAATACAAATTTTAGCTAGGAATGATGAGATATTACATCATATATATATATATGAATATGAAAAACTGCCTTTATCCAGGCACATCATAACTAGAAAATCCAGATTTGCTCAAAGGCATGGGGGTTCCAAGTTGGCCTAAGTCATTCTTCTACACTAGAAAAAGATATTCTCTAGAATCTTGCCAATTATGTCTTCTCGTTTTAAGGGGTATAATTTCAGAAAAATTCTTCCAGTGAAAAGATTCTTCTATATTTTTCCACTCTGCAGAAAATATATGGATTCCTACTAAAATATTCTAGAAATATCCATTCTTGGAGAAAAATGCCACCAATTTTGGCATTCTTTAACAAGTTTTTAAAATTACAGACAGCATGATTTCCAATGTTTTTAGGTACAATCAAAATAAACAGTCCTATCCATTGTAACATGCATAAATTCATACATAAAATACTTCCATTTTGGTTTCTTTCTTAAAAAGTAAGGAGAGGAAAGAGGAAGAAGGGGAGAAAAAAGAGCCATGCACAGGGAACAACACGTTTCTAATTACACTGGGAAACATCTTCAGTGTCCAATGAGGACAAATGGAAGGAAGTGTGAGTTGTCTCTCCACCTGACCCCAAAATACGTTTTTCCCACCTTTAAACTCCATACAAAGATGACTTACATTTGCTTATGTTTACTCAATCCCCACAATAAAACCTGGCAAATAGTAGGTGTTCAATGAGTATTTTTAAAAAGAATACATTTTACAGGTATAGATTAAGCTGAAAACAAAAGCATTTCATGTAAGAATATATCTAATGAATTCTTAAATTTAATCTCAGTTTCTAATGGCCAACATAAGACTAAAGAAACTTAACATTAAAATCTTGTTTCAATCAACAAATCTCTACAGTATTTCCTATGTGATAAACACGGTGCTCGGTAAACAGAGGTAAATAACACATGCTCATGCTACCATTAGCTTTTAGTCTAAACAGACTGAATGTAGAAAAACAGAAAAGTAAACATAAAACTGAAATATAGGAAAGATCCTTTATTTATTCTTCCTCCTCTTACTTAAATCTTACTCATTATCATGTCACAAAGCTAAGGTCTTCTGTTTTAAATAATCACATGCTCTAGGACTTTTGTATTATAGCCTGACTTCAGAAATTTCCAAAAAAGTTCTTAGAATAACAAAAGAATTATCTTCCATATCATTAATATATCTAATTACAGTATGCCATTCTAGCCTTCTCAAAATGTATATACACACACTATTATTATGTAAAAACATTGATTTCTCAGACAATAAGATGGTTTAACTGATCTTGGGCAGACACAGCTCAGAAACTCCAATTCTGACTTCTCCAGCAATTTCGTAACAACTTCTGTATCAATTTTTTCAAGAATACTCAAGGTTTAGCTACCAACCTAATTCAGAGTTAGTATACAGTCTCTATATATTAAAATCTCTCTTTTCAGATGTACAAATTATCACCCACAATATACTTCAAGTACATCTTGGTTTTTTTAATATTGTTCTTAACAAGTCTGTCTCCTATTATCTAGCAATCTGACGATTTAAAATATATCCAGCTTATCAAAACTATGGTCATTTTCATCCTGCGCACACCCTTACTTCTTAAGGGCATCAAATATTAATCTCACTCCAAAAGTCTAAGAATTGATTTACAGAAACCACTATGCTTCTAGTATTGCTAGAAAAAAATAAAGGAAACTCAGTTAAATATGGACTTCAGATAAACAAGCTTATTTAGGTGTGTCTGAAATTCAAATTTTATTGGGTATCCTACATTTTTTATTTGCTAAAAATAGTAACACCGACCTATGGACATCTATAAAGGCACCATTCTCATCAAAGGAAATAATTTATAGTATTTCTGTGCCAAACGAGAATCAGCAAGTATACATACAACATCAAAATTCAGACTTCAGTCACATTAAATTGATGGTTTGTAATACTGATTGTTCTTTTAAAAAGCATCTCTAGTTTTTAAAAATTCTATCAAACAAAGGTTTAATTAAGACCATGAGCTATTTATTATTCAGTAATTAACACAAAAGGTACCACCTAGTCTATTTCTTCATGCATGTAAGTGCTATATATTCAAATTCAGAAAGAGTTGAGGTATAACAGCTATTAATTTGAATATACTGAAGTTTTAAATGGAAATGACATATTAGTGACATCTGTTCCTCTTGGTAACATGCCCTGATGCTGTCCATTTAGATAAATTACCTCACAGGATTACTGGTCAAAGACACTCGGAGGGACTCCAGGTACGTGGCAAGTCTCTCATCAGCAGACACCATTTTCAGTTCATGGATGAATTCCTGAGGTGAGATCTGTCGGCTACTTTTAAGACTTCTCTGTAAAATGAGTTTTTAAAAAATGATGTCATAAATATTATCCATGAAATAACAAATTAATTCCACCTCTCCAATTAACAATTGCAGACAACTACTACAATTACTATATTTCAGGGTGTGAGGGAGCGATATCCTTATTTAGTCTACTCATAAATCTATAAATCTATAATCTGTGGCATCCACAAAAAATAATAACATAGTATCAAAAGGACTGCAAACTAAAATAAATGCAAATTTAGCAAATGCAAGCTTTCCTGAAGAAATATTAAGCGTAGATCACAAAAAATATCCTGAAGTATAGTGGTATATTCTCATCACATTCTAAAGAAATATGACTCAATACAGGAACTACCTTATTAAAATTAGTGCTCTAAGCAACACAGGAAAAGCTCTTAAGTCACTGATTCATACAATTACTATGGAATGTTTTATTCTAGGCAATTTAGACCTACTGATTATCAAACTCTAAATCTAGGAAGATAAACACAGCACTATAGGAATTACAGTACCCTAAAAATTATTGCTTTGACACAGAACTAAGAGACACAGAGAAGTGCTACAGTACCTACATAGGGCAGGGCAGCTCAGAGAAGCCTGAGTAGCAGGGGAAAGGTAAATAAGAAACGATGTAATATAAAATTAGAAAGGAATTCAGACCAAAACAAAGCAAATGCCCATACAAAGAAAACAACAAAACTAAATGCAATTCAAAATAATGGACGCAGTATGGAGTGTCAGAGAACCAGAGCTTCCCAGGGTAATTTGGGAAGGATCTAGTCCAGTATGAAATACAGATTGGAAGTGAAGCTCTCTCCTTTGACACCGAGGGCCAATTAATGCTGACCATGGTTCTAAGTACTAAGAATAGTACAACAAATGAGAGAAAAATTCTTCCTCCATCTAGCTTTATTCTAATATAACATAATATAATCAAAGTGTATTGTAAATAGTGTTATAGAGAAGATAAAAGGAAGAAAAGACAAGGAGTTCACTGTGGGGACACAATTTTAAATAGCCAAGGAAAGTTTTATTTCACAGCCCTCACACTTGAGTGTTTGCATTAAAAAGCTGATGAAGTAAGACAGCTCACCATGCAGGTATCTGGGGAAAAAAGGGAGAGAGAGAAAGCATGTGATAGAGGGGGCTGAAAACTCTACAGCCACCAGCTATGAAGAGCACATACAATTTTACTCTGAGAAAGAAAACAGATCTGTTCTAAAACACATGTACGTCCGTTTGTGCGTGCCTCTGTGTGTGCATGTGTGACCCGACGAGGGTACTGAAGTCATAGTAAGGCAAATCCTAAATGATCTCTCTTTACGTTACAGATGAAACACCCAAGGACAGAGAAAGGGGCTGTAATGTTCAAAAGCAGGTTATCTGAGATGGCAGGAATTTTTTTTTCCCATTTCACTTTTTTATTAATTTGCGGTAATTTCATTTGTAAAAACAACCGAAGTTCAAAACAAATTAGTACTAGGAAGACATGTTGTTTTTAATCAGTATCAAAGTAATTTATTAAAGAAAAATTCAGCAAAATCTCAACAGAGTTACTAATGATAAAGAAAATAAAGTTGAAAGAAGAGCTGATGAGAGCAGTGAAAACAAATACCCAATTTTTACTATCATTGATATCATAAAAATACATTACGTTTTCACTACATTTTATTCATTAACATCATTTTTACTTAAAACTAACAGAGCATTGTTTGTCATGTGCTAAAAATTTGTACACCCGTATCAGTAAATAAGTTTTGTCAAGCGTGGTGGCACATTTTTGTAGTTCCTGCACTGCACTCGGGAGGCTTAGGCAGAGGATTGTTGCAAGTTCAAGACCAATGTGAGCTACAAAGTGAGCTCAAGGCCAACCTGAACTGTACAGCAAGGCCCTGTCTCAAAAAGACCCAATAAGTACGTTTTTAGAATATGACTTGCTCCTGCCTAGCATTACTTCCTAATTAGTCTCTCTCTGTAAGGCTGTAGCTTGCTTACAATGTCTTGATATCATGTTCCAAGCTTCCTATTTTTGCACTCTTGGTATAGGCAGTTTTGCAGTCAGGAATTTCAAGGAGGACAAGATAAACACAGGAAACATAATTTATATTATTATTTATAATGGTCATTAAAGAGTCAAATACAAAGAAAGTGCAGGAAATCTGTCCACACATTACAGACCTAAGGAATCTAGCTGAGGGCCTGGATCCCATGGCAACATCCTGCATGAGTCCAGTTGAAGACCTAGAGCCCATGACAATTCCTCCCATGAATTCGAACGGAGGCCTAGAAGCCATGACAATGATTCATGAAAGTCTGTGTCACAGATCTACGCAGAGTCTGCAGTAGAAGCTAAGAAGTCTATGCCAGCAGGGTAAAGGATCTGTGCCAGTAGGCTGACGGTTAGGCTGGGTCCTGCACTGGAGCCAGAAAGTAATGCTCAAAGTAAGAACCAGGGCTCCCCCATAAAGAACCACTGCCATCCTTAGCAACAATGAAGTCACAAGCTCCTCTGCTGATGAGAACAGCTGCTCACATCAGGAAGCCAGCAGTACAAGTTTCTCTTGGAGACTGAACAGCACACATTTTCCCCTGTGGAACCAGGAGGCCGTGCTCAGAGGAAAGACCAGAGCTCGCCTAAAGTGAACCATGGTCATCGTCAGTGACAAGGTCCTGAGTTACCTTGATGATAACAGACAAATTCACGCAGGAAAGAAGCTCAAAAAGCTCCTCCAGGAGAACCCACAGCAGCCACAGAAGCAACAGCACCAAACAACAACACTCTTCTTCCTCTCTAGATCTGTTTTTATGCTGGCCAGCCTTACTCCTTCCTAGACATCGACTAGAGATGACCTGAGAACAACTCCCCAAAACCCTGCCTCCCCCATGGCTTTCCAGGAGTTGTACACCAAGTCACCATCTATGTTTTTATCTTCCTCACACTCGGTAGCTGCATTAAAATAACCCAAATTACTATTTATTAAAGATTAGGGAGCATATACTGTGTTCCAGGCACTCCTTAATATTTAATTATTGAGCTTGAGTGGTAGGGCCAGAGATACAAAGGGCAAGATAAGGCCACAGCTAAGGACACTTGGCTCAACCTCAATTAAGTAGACACAGAGCTGCAGGAATTACTCCTACTGTCTCACTTCTACCATGTCAAATGAGACAGTTCTACTAAATTGACTTGATTCATTACTTGGAGATGTCCTTGAAGTGACTCCCAAGGTCCTGCTCATTGCCTGCACTTTCCTCAGTTTCCCCATCCTTTATCTTGGACCAAATAAATATCAGTGGTCCAGAGAAGTCTTTGTCTTAGCCCTGACAGTCTAGAGCTCAGCTAAAGAGTTTTGACCCCCCTGGAGCCCTAAAATCATACCACTTGTCTCATTTTATTTAAGCCTTCACTGTATACTCATTTGGGAGACTGGGGATCTAGGAGCTGAAAACTCAGGACTTGCTGACAATCTGTATGTAAAGTATGAATAAGGTAAAACTTAACAATGAGGTCTAGGTTTTTAATCTCAACCAGGTGATCTATCGATGACTGTCCACTCGACAAAAGCAGTAGCAATGGTGTACTGAAGATAACCTGCTCTGAAATTCAGGATTTAGGGCAGTCTCTCCAAGGGAATCTTGAGTGTGGATTAGAGTACAGAAAAAACACATTATGTTTGCATGCTGATAAGAACGACTAAGCAAAAGAAAAAATGATGATGATGATGATGATGAAGATCATGATGGTGGTGTGGCGGTGGTATGGGAACAGATGCAGGAAAACAAACAGAAGGAAAAACCTTGTGCATAGGTGAGAGATATGCCTCATTATACAAGAGATATGCCCTATGAATACACAAGGAAGAAATGAAAGAAACACAGAATGTGTGGTAGGATATCTGCATGTTGGTCAGGACTTGCTCATGAATTGTGGTCACTGAGAAAAGACAGATCAGTGTAGCCTCCCTTGAGATGAAAGGTGTGCTCTGGTATAGGCGCAGAAGTAATTCAGTTTAACCAAAAGTGGGGTCTATTCAGACGGAAAGGAAAATGAACTGGTGGTTGGGGTCAGAGAACAGAACTGTGGGTCGTAGATAAATAAAGAGGGAAGTAAGTAACAACATGGAAAGACAGAAGCGATGGACATAAAAAACTTCCTAAGAAAATGGATCAGTACATCGCATATGGTTATAGAATTCTAAAAACGGTGATATTATGTAAGTAGGAGAGACAGTCCTTGGGAAAGAAAGTCTGTATACATTTAGAGATGGTATTCTAGTATCCCAGCAGCCAAGTAGCTAAGATTTGGTAGAAAATAAGTATCAGGATGAAGTGATGAAGTCAGGAAATAAACTAATCCACTAACACCACTCCCCACTCAGGAATTGAAACCAGGGCATTTACACCAAACTATATCCCCTAACCCTTCTTTATTCTTGTTTTGAAACAAGACCTTGCCTGAGCTTCCCAGGCTGAGCTTGAATTTGCAATTCTCATGACTCAGCATCCTGGAATGCTGGGATTCCAGGGCTGCCCCAAGGCCAGCTGGGAAGTGAAATGTTGGTTGTGTGAGTGAGTCTTCAAAGATCATGGCAGCAGAAATAGCAGGAAGAAAAGCAGTGGCCTAGGTAACCACATCTTCAAGCAAAAAGGAGAAACCCATTAGTACATGCTAACTTCTTTGAACGATATCTCTTTTAATTCATTTACCAAACCAGAGGCTTTTTGTAAAATCTCTGCTATTCAATGAATCAATGCAGTCACAATGAAATGTAATACACAGACTAAGGATTAAAAGAACAAAGGGGTACAAAGACACATGCAGACACAGGCGCACACAGAGACACACATTGAATCAAATGCTTACTGAGGAATATTCCAAATCAAAGAACTGTAGATGTAGGAAGGAGTCCAACTATTTGAGAGATTAGTTTTCAACATAATTTCCCCTTTCATTACATTTATTATATTGCTATCAAAATATAAGCATAAAAGAAAGAAAATCG